CAATTTAAGGGGTACCTTCATGGGCAAATCCTGTATTAATGTGTCCCTCTCTGCACTAATATTCATCCTAGCACGTCATGGATATTAAATGAATCCTTGTTGTTATGAACTGAATGAAATTCACAGCACCTACTGTACTTCTATAATGTGCCTATCCATATGCTATGGGGTCTGTGGAGACTTATTATATGGTTCTTGTGTTTTTAGAATTCACAGTCAGCCTCCATTGTAAAGGATACACACAGTAAAGTCTTGCCTCTATTCACTCGTTAAACAAGATTTTACTGAGCACCTACTATGAGTTTCAGGTTTTGATACAGGAGAAAACATACAATATGAGTAAGACAGTCTTGTGGAGGGAATGTAATGATATTATGGCAGGTGCTATAGAAGAAGTGCATTCAAGATCCTGGGACATTTACCGAGAGCTTACTATTACTAGATACTGTCTCTCATAATTTCTTTCTTTGACCTTCCTTTGCTCATCTATCTAATACCTTTCTCAGGGTAAGGGCATGATGGTTTCTCTAGGCTTCTTTCAGTTTTATGATCTATGACCATCTTAACGAAAATGTTCAGAAGGGCCATTTCTAGATGCTGGTACTTTGGGACAATCTGAGGAAAGGGGAGAGGCAGAGGTGGTATCCATTTTATTTAAAATTGTGTAATAGGTTATATATACAGAAGAGTACATAAAACATACACATACAATTTTAATGAATAATTACGCACTGAAAACTTGCATAATGCACACCCAGGTCAGAGAAATCTTTGCTAGCCCCCTGGAAACCCTCCCATCCACAATACATAATAATCCCCTATTACAGTCACCTTTCCCCCTCCGCACTGAGATAACTACTATCTTGACATAATGGTAATCACTTTCTTGGTTTTTAAGAAATATGTGTCATATCTATAACTACCCTGCACCATAGAACCTGTTCAACTCTGTTGTTCCAGGAGGGCGCCCATTTTTCAGGTGGGTGCTGTGATGGATTTTATTGTTGTTCATAATGTTCAGGGCCACTCCCTAAAGCAACCCCCCACCACCTCACCTTTGGCAAGATCTATTTCCCTGCACCCTTGCAGGATTGGCTGTGTCACTTGCTTTGGCCAATGGAATATGAGGGAAAGTGATGAATGTCATTTTAGAAGAGAAGCTTTAACAGCTGACATAAGCTTCCCCAGGCTTCTTTATCACTCTGTCATGATGCCTGGAATTGTCCCAGAGAGGAGCTATGGTTATGTGTGTGTGTGTGTGTGTGTGTGTGTGTTGTGAGCCTCAGCTCATCAGAAACTAGCAGGTTCTCTGAGCATAGCTAAGGAACTCTGATGGAGGCCTTCAACATCTTGGACAGAATTCAGCATAGACTTTATCTGTTGAAAGTATCTCCAGACTCTCTGAGTTTGACTGTCTCTTTTTAGTGGAGAATTCTGTGTTCTTCCTTCCTGAACCACTAACTCACATAATCAACCCCCATCCTCTTTTTTTTTCCCCCTAGCAGGGAGCACTCTTTTTATTTATGTACTTCCCTTACATAGTGTGACAATTCTTCATGAAATTTTTGCCTAGCATAATAAGGTCCTGAAAAAAGCAACAGTAGATATGGCCACCTTTAATACAGACTTTGGGGTGCCCGAGGCATGGCCCATAGAATTTGGACCCTTGAATCCCAGCAGGAAAAGGATCTAGGCTGCCTGAAGGTATTATAGTTGCTGCCAATTGCTAAAAGAGTGGCATGAAATATTTCCTGGAAGTAGTCTCACTATATGCACTGAGAGCTGTTCTGACCACGTGAATGCTCCCGAGGTTCAGAGTCAACCCCCGCTCAAAGAGTAGAGTTTGGGCTGTGCTACCTCCAAGTGCTGCAGCCTGGGGATGGAGAGACCTTCTTAACCACCCTTCAAAAAGATGCCCTGGGGGGCG